CATCTTTGCTCATTACATCTTAACCTGTCTTACCCTCAGGTGTGTAAAAACCACAGGTTATGAACTTGGCCATAAGAAGCAGGTAATTATCGGTTATCATATTATTATCATTTTTATCCTGGTGGAAAATACAGTATTTATAACCTACGATGACATGCAGATACATCTGGCAGTACATACTCGATACCTGTTCCAACATGTGCATTGTCTGTGCTGGTGGTTAAACTTTGAAGCTTGTTTTTGCCAGTCTGTGCTCCACAGACCTCAACTGCTGCTCTGTGACACGCCCTGCCACAAGGACACTGTAATGGGAGTATCGAGAACTGGGACTAAACTGGTACCGGTTCCTGACAGTCAGTAATCAATATCAGTAAGGTCCTAGACAAGCAATACTGCGATCGGTATAACAGCTGACAGAAACATTCAAAAGTGTGCGCTCACCTTTTCATGTCATGTCTTCACCAAATGTTATAAATAAATAAATAAATAAATAAAGTATTGAATAAGCAGTATCTGTATCAATATAATCCTAATCATACCCATCCCCAGTCTGGGTCAGTTTTTGATTGCTGAGAAGAAAAAGTATAGTCTTGTGATGCAGCCCAGAACTCATTCATTTCTGCTGTGTAAAACCACTCTCTGTGCATTTTAGCTGCACCTGGTTAATCTCTCCTAGTAGATTACATCAGAAACAACATGAGACCTGTAGGTGATAGAAACACACATAATTAACACAAGACAGAAACAGGAAAACAAGACCTTTTTTTCTCTCCGTCTTTGGTCTGTCTTTCTCTTTTGTGCCTTATAGATGCCAGTAGATTTGCATCACACATCCCACACACGCCGAGATCTGATAAAGCCCTCATGCTTTCATTTCTATTGCCTCCCATCACCACAAATGGAATCACACCTTAGACAGTATTTATGTTTGACATCATATCAATCTAATCTCTCAATGGTTACCGAGTTGCCCTTATTCAAATGAGGTTTCAGTGTCTGTATGTATGAGGAAAGGAACTAAAGGAACATGTAGTTTTTGTGAGTGCTGCTCTATGTTGAACCTTCCTCCCACACACCACTCGACTTCAGTTCTCTGCTCTGCAAAGGATATGCTCTATGCGTCTACCTTATTTTTTCTTTTAGATATTTTATTATAATTGTTGAAGTTCAAAAAACACAATCAACACCCACTCCAAATTTCTGTTCTTTGATCTTCGGCATGGCAGAGTAATCTTACTATTTTATATGCTCTTTCCTTCAGCCTCTACAGCACCAACAGGGACCAAGCCAGAAGAGCGGCCCAGCAGAAGCACTCTTCCTTCAGGCAGCCAGAGCACAGCAAAGCCCCTTGTCTCCAGCAGTGCAACTACCACCACCACTAATGCTGCCAGTGAGACAGCTACCAGTGCTACCAGTGGTGTCACTGCTGCTCCAAAGCCTCCTGCAATGAGGAGCAGAGCTCTGTCGCTGCAGGCCAGGACCACTACTACAGGTCAGTGTGTGTGTGTGTGTGTGTGTGTGTGTGTGTCTGTGTGTCTGTGTGTCTGTAAACTAAATCCTCCACACCAAGCAAATGTGTGATAACACTGTTAGCTTAGCCATTTACTTACTGTTTTAAATTAGCAATAAGATGCTTAATGATATATATGCTTGAATGCTGCTTCCAGTGTCTTTATTGTTTATTTTATCAAACATTACATCAAAGTGGACCAAATCAGATTCTTGATCAAATATGTGCTTCAACACCGATGCAAAATATATTTAATACACAATAAACAGTACAATCAATATTCTTAGTTCATACATTCAAATGGAAAGCTCTTTATTTCTGTATATAATACAATAAATATATATAAAATACAATAAGAAATAATATCAAGAAGAAAATGCACAAGTGAAATGACAAACGCTCTGACTGCTTGTAAAAGGAAGTCACCTAACATTGAAATTAAAGAGCTGTAACAAATTTACAGACACACACATTTAAAGTATCTAAATTCTCTGTGTCATGTCTCATAGTACTGTACTCCATTGACAAGAGATGTTTCAGGACTACTGTTGGTAAAGATGGAGCTAATTCTAACTACTTTATATTTTGCTGGGTAGGCTAATATATATGTTGCTGAGTAAAAAGTACAAGTACCTCTGATTTGTACTTACGGACAACACTTTCCACCACTGCACATCAGCCAGAGAGTGATACTTTGTATTAAAGGTGTGAACGACAGTGCGACTTGCCCTCCACCTATAGCAGGGACTGGTTGGCAGGTTGGCTTTATAACACACGTGACATGGCAGACAGCTGTTTCTGTGGCATATCCAGTCTGGGTCAGAGTCTGGACAATACATGTGATCCTATTACAGAGAGAGGGATAAAGTGTAAGAGAGAAATAGTGACTCCAGCTAAGAAGTCAGCTGAGGACTAAAGAACAAGACAAGGATGGTGCAAGATAAATGATAAAACAACTTCCTGGTTGCAATCTGGCTTCTCTGACTTCAAATCTTAGTCATTTGACTCCGGTAGAGAACAGAAGAGTTTGAGCATCGACACCTAGCTGGCGAGGGAAACAAAGCCTTCTACAGGTTCTGCGATGGGCTTTGACTTCTTCTGCATCCACTCCACAGGTCTGAAGACCCCGACAGTGATCAACAACAACATAGCCAAGACAGCTGCCACCAATCAAACGGCAGCAAAGACTACTCCCACTGCCAGTCAGGGACTGACCAAGCAGGCGTCACAGTATCCCTTGCAACGAAGCGGCTCGGCAAGGCTCAGTCGACTGCACAGCACAGGTAAGGATGAGGCCGTTTGTGTGTGTGTGTGTGTGTGTGTAGGGTTCTGTGTGACTATCACCTGCTTGTGTTGTGTGTTGGCGAGGAGAGATGTTTGTGTGTAAAGGGCTGCAGGTGTGTCTGTGTCTCAAAACCGCACTAATCCCAGTATTCTTGGCAATAGCTGCAATGGCAAACATCCAGCACTATCACAGCTACTGTATGCGATCTGTGTGGGTGCATCTTGAATGGTGCAGAAATGAAAGCACCTGAAGCTGTTAACCTGTTTTATCCGGTATTCTGCAGGTATTTTGGCAAAACTACACTCTGGTCTGTGCCAAACGAGGAGGATTTAGCTTCAAACTCTTAAAGACGTTGCTGTTTACTTTCTACTTTCCGTTCATGTGGTTTTGATTTTCTACACAGGTTCAGTTGATGTGGCTAGCCCCTACAATATTCAGATTGATTCTGTTGATAGGCAGCATTTTGTGCAACTAAACAATGTCTTTAAACATGAGTGTGTTTCGGCAGGAGATGATGAAACATTTAGACATTTATGTTGAATCTGATCAGTGTCTCAGCTTTAAGTGTACAATATGTCATTTCTGCCACTAGGGGCTCTCACATCAATACAATGATAAAAATGTAGTTTGGTGATGCTGTTAAGTAGCGTGGGATCAGTTGTTGTCTTTATTGTCAAACAACCACTATTGCTGATGAAAATCTATTTGATGAGGCAGAAATTGTTCATGGAGGAGGCAATGTCAGTGTTCCCACGCATCCTGGAAAACAGTAGTTGGAAACACCTGGAAATTGATTAAAATTACCAAATTTCCTAGAGATAATCCATGTTGTCCTGGAAAATGTTAATCGTATTTTAGCACCTCACTCAGATCGCCTTCTGACTTGCAGCGACCTTATTAGTGTCAAGTCAAATTTTTCCGAAGCTGTGAACGGAATTCTCCTGAAAGCTCAGTGAAAATACAACATTTCTGTAAAATAAAGTAACTTCTACTTGGTTTAAACTAGAATTAGAGGAAACTGTAGTAAACTGTAGTCAAATCACTGAGCTAACACAGAGTGGCCAATAAACGCCGTCCACCTACAAGGGCCACCGGTTAATCATAAGGCCATTTAACAGTGCTGTCCTGTACTGTCAAGAGAACTCCTGAAAAATGTCCTGAAAAGATCCTGGAAAATGATTTCTTAAACAGAGTGGGAACCCTGGATGTATTAAAGTTTTATTCATGTTATGTTAAGTCATGACTTCCTTCCTCACTTTTTGACCTATCCCATGTTTCCTTGGTAGTTATAGCAACTAGAGGCAAGTAGGAACGCACTGCTATGAAAATAAAATGGGTTTCTCTGGGTTTGAACATTGTTGGAAACATATGGGATAATGTAAGTACACAACTCAACTACGTATATAATTTAAGTCTAGTCTTTATAAACATTTTAATGTGGAAATGTTACATATGGGTGAACTTGTGTAATTAAATACATCAGCCTGACCTACAATCAAAGACTGTGCATAATTACAGTAAGATATTTGTCACATTGTGGACTTCCATCAGTTGAGGACTCATTTTTAGACTTGAAACCTGTGTGAATGATAGAGAGCTGTGTCAGGTGGTTGATGTGTGCAGGAGAAGTCTGATGTGTGTAACCGTTTACAAGCAATCTGAAAACTCAGTCCTGCAGTACGACTGATAGCAGCCTTTGTATTGTTTTGAATGCTGAGTACAACTTTTAATAGTGATACAAGATCATTAATTCATTAATTCAGAACCACACTTATGGCTTATGGTTTGCTGTTCAGCTGAACACACACACAACCAACACCGACCACACACACAACAAAGCACAACAACCAACACACCAGCACACACCGACACACACACACACACAAACATGCATATTTGGCCTTACTGACTACAGCTCATATGCTGGAAGCTTAAGCAATCATAATTATCATCCCTCTGCAGTCTCTCTGTAATTATTCTGCTGCTCATGACACATACTTGTGCACACACGCACACACAAATTATGTTTGAATTTAGAGTGGAACCACATTTGCATCTCAGCAATACTGAAGTTGGACTTAATGTTTCAGTGCTGTTTATTGTCAGTTTTCAACCAGTAAACACTCATTCGCTGGTGACCAAATCCAACATTTCGCACCAAAAACAGATTTTAAAGCAGCTTTAGAAATGATTTTAGTATCAAGACAATATTTCAGAAAGTAGTAGATACACGTGCAGTCACAGATGGGGTCCTAATGTTGGAGCATGAAAAACACTGGTGCCTATTTCCTCCGTGCGGGCCTCATGAAGCCAGGGCCTGTGGTTGCAGCCTCCCCCTGCATGTGGTGACTCTGGTCTGGGCCCGGGCGCCTGGCTGCCTCCACTCTGTGGCCGGTCCTTGAAGTCTCCGGAGGGGCCTGTGGGGAGCCGCCACTCACAGACATGCTGTCACCTCCGTGATGGCAGGCAGCCTACACTTCATATGCCCCACACTTTTGATTCATGCACCCCTCTCTCTCTCTCATTCACACACACCACAGCAGCCCTCAGGCGACAGCGGTTAGCAGCGTGGGCTTTTAAAGCACTCACTGGCTTACTTTAGCTCTTTCTGTTTTGGTGAACATGGACTTTATTGATTCTGACATGCACATACATATACACACAGGGCTAGTTTTATTGTCCACGCTCTCAGGGGACTATTTATATGTAATGGCTGAGTTGTCATTTTTGTGCATAATGTGCATATTTATAAATTCTGGAATTGTTAATGAGATGGAGGGAGTAAATGCCTTTTTAGAAGATTTAGTGTGGGAAAATGTATCAGACACACATTACTATATTATTTCAAGCAGTCTTTTGTTCTAATACATGTCTGTAGGGGATTTTTAAGTAAGGGAGTCATTATTCTGAGATACATTTGAAACTAGCTATTTAAAGTCCCATATGGTATACTATAGACAATGAGTGAATATTTGAATACAATAAAAGCTCTCTGGATGGCCAGGTGATAATGACTTTTTTATTTTAAAGGTTTAAAAGCATGAAGTCCTCTTCAGTTTATCTTCAGAATAGTCTGAGAATCAGCTGCTGTTTTAATGTCTTGTTGGAGGAAGCAGAGGGATCTAAGTGTTCATCTAGTGTTGTTCAAACTGTTTCTCCTTATATGAGGAATGCAACTCTTATGGTTTATAGTTTTCATGTCTACCTAATCATTTCAGGCTCTCTCTGGTATCAACCTCAGTTTACTAATTAAAAAAAAAAAAATAATTAGATTAAAGTAACTGTCGAGAATCTTTGATTGCTCTATTAAATCTCTGGGCTTTATAGATCTTGATAGGGGAATGGGCTGAATCGCATGTTATTCCACTGCACCACACACATGCCCACACAGCCTGTGATTGGTCGACAAGTCAGGAACATAGCCTGTGATTGGTCGACAAGCCAGGAACATAGCCTGTGATTAGTCGACAAGTCAGGAACACAGCCTGTGATTGGTCGACAGAAATTGAAAAATTCATTAACAATCACAGAAGACATTGGGTGTTATTTGATTTGACCAGCTGTAAATGCTGAATATAGCAGGTGCAATTTTATTTTTGCATTGAAAATGGACATGTTAAAGACAAAATAATAATGATTGTTGTTGTCGTTCCATGTTCTGGTGAGTAATTGAGGTGCAATGTTTTCAGTGTGTTGAAGTAAATAAAAAAGTTTTCAATGTAGAGGTTAAATTTTTGAGGTAATTTATAAAAGATTGCCAATCTCATTTGAATTCATGTTAAACATTTCAAAGACGTGATGGGGATAAAAAAAGATGGTCCAAAAGACCCTGATACAAGCAAATGCAAGAAGGAAAGGAAATATACGTCCTATCTCCCCCTGCAGCAAGGCAGAATAAACTGTTAAATCTCGACCTTCGGGACTTGTCAATTTTGAAAAAGAAGCTGAACTTAAACAAGCGGCTAAGCTTGCATGTATGAGGTCTGTCTCTTGTTCACTCAAGGCGTCTTGTCGTTTGGCTTGAGAAGCTTGTAAGTATGGCACCTGCACCGAGACGTGATTGAGGGGCGTGTGTGTGTGTGGTGTGTGTGTGTGTGTGTGTGTGTGTGTGTGTTTGTGTGTGTGTGATGTGGGTTGTGTGTGTGTATGGAGAGAGAGAGAGGCCCTCCCAACCCAGTTATTCTCCTTCGATCACATCTAAAAACCTTCGACGATGATTCATCCTCTGACACTCTCTCAAACGGAAGCGGCAGGGAGGAGACTTGAGAAAAAGAATGATGGAGGAGCGAAGCGAGGGAGGAGGGAGGAGGGAGGGAGAGAATGAGCGAGCAGCAAAGAAAGATTATTCAAATCCCACCCACTCCCCCTCCCCCTCCGTCCCTGCGAGCATCCCTCCCTCTGGTGTGTTCTGTGTGTGTGTGTTGTGGTGTTTGTTCAGTGTTCAGTGTTCAGAGAGCTTTCTAGAAGCAGCCGGGCAGTAAAATAGAGGGTGGGAGTTGTATTGAAGCCTCGTCTGTCGTCCAAGGCTGCCGCTCAGTGGGTGTTTGTGTGTGTGTGTTGTGTGTGTGTGTGTGTACATGAGAGCTACATCACTGTGACACACCGTGGTGTGCATCAGCGGGATGGATCACTGTGTGTTTTGCATGTTAACCGCAGAGACGGACTACTAATCATCACCAGTGTTGAGGATTTTCTCTCCTCACTCTCTCACACACATACACACAGGAGTACTACCTCTGTCGTTCCCTCCATCTTTATCGTTGGGTGATTCACTACCACCTGGACAACGGTGAAGCACGCAGCTATTTTTGGCGCCATTTTCTCTTCTTCTTCTATTGGCTGGGCTACAGAAACCAGTTCTCCTTCGCTTTTATTTTTTTGTTTTGCGGACTCTGTGGCTTTAAGTCGCTGAAGGGCAGCTAGCAGCTTAACGGACTCCCTTTTTTTTCCTCTGTTTTTTTTTACTGCTTCTCTTTCCCTCTGTAATGAGTCAAAGGT